TCGTCAACGGGAGGTTTTCGGCCAGAGACCAGCACCAGAAATCGATGGGAGCCACCACCAAATTCGGTGAGTCCGTCGAGGGCACCCTGCTTGGGGTGGGATTGAAGGAAGACTTAACGGCAAAACCTTCCATCTACTCCGACAGCAAGTGCCAGCTGCGCAGCAGCTGGCATTTCCGTTTGGGCGACGCCTGCCCCGGGTTCTTCTCGTTGAAGCTCTGAATCGCGCCCTTCTTCACCTCAATGATCATGGGCCCGGCGAGCTCATCAGTCAAATCAACGTCCAAGCCCAGCGTGGAGTGGTCCTGCGCTTAAAAAACAAACAAAACACACAACACAACTCTGGCAATTTGTCCATGCTTCGTCCAATATCCCACTGAGTCCCACCTCAAAATTTGAGCGCCTGTGCCGTACGTTGCGGGGGATGGTAAGACGGACAGATTTGCGGGGATGGTAAGACGGACAGATTTCTGAAGGAAGTTGAGGCGGCCGGTCCAAGAAGGTTGCGGACGTGCTGTTGGGCGGCCGAAAGAGCTTCTACCTTGCCCGACTTTAAGAGGATGCTTTGAAGGCAACCCTGAACTGGCCATGCGTCAATCCATATTGCTACAAATGGTGTTGGTTCCTTTTCGAGTTTCAGCAGGCGGCCAACCAAAAAGAGGGCTCCACTGAGCTCGGGTCCTTGACGGGCACCGTCACGGTGAAGGATCCGGTGCCAGTGATGGACTTTGCTGGCAATTTGACCTCCTCGGGCAAGCTGGCACTCGACTGCCATTCACGTTCTCAGGGGAATCTGTCAAACTAGGGACCTTTTTGGGAATGTTTGGATTTGTGTGAAAGGGAAACTTTGGAAGGTCGCTCCTTTCGACACAGCCACAACGTTCTTAAGGTATGAAGCTTTCCTTGTCAACAAATTGTCATAGCAGCAGGTCTGAGCAACAACATCCCGCTTTGAATTCCCGACAACATTGCCAACAACAAAACGATAGGGCACTACAGGAACCCGACACCCACGAATCAAGCCGCAAAACCGCTGTAGGGGCCCCACAAAGCTCATGCTCTACAGCAATATGATATTGATTGTTGCTCATGTTAAAGTGGCGGACTGGGTAACCACTTCGCCTCGCCCTGCCTCAACCGGCTCTTTGTGAGCCTCTTTCTTGTCAGGCTTCTCTTCCTTGCTCTTCTCATCAATCTTTTCTTCCTGGAGAAAGGCACCAAATGCGACCGTCAATGCGGGAAAATCACATGCAGCGGATCGACAAGTCAACCAGGTTGACTCATTTTCAAACAAGGCAGCGGCCGCCATGTTCAAACCCAAGCAGTGTCGGAAGTAGTGTGGAACGGCGGCTCAAAAACTATCTAGACATATATGGAAGGTTCCCCCAAAAATATGTTTGTTGGGTTCCCTTTGCAGTAATTAAGGTTCCGAGCAAAGGTGCCATCATGAAACAACACACGCCTATGTTCCTGCCTGCCCACCTGTCCCCCTACCAGTCTGCAGGCATCTGAGGCAAAGCACAATTCATAATTGGACCATGCAAATACCAAAGCCGCAAATGGCAAGACCTTGAACCTGCGTTTGCTTGGAAATCCAAATTAGAAAACCATGTTATGTAGAGGAATCTCCTTTTGGAGGGACCTCTTTTTGAAGTGTCCATGTAAATTTCCCCAGAGGAACTACAGCCAGGAAACCAGCGCCTCCCGAGTCTGATCCGCGCTCAAGATAGGTAGCGCCGGGATTTCCGCCACTTCTTGAATCTCTGCCCCGTTGGCGCAGCAAGCGCAAAACCTCAGAGCACGCTCCTGTTCACTTTTGGTTCTAACATGGTTAAGGTCCGTATTCGCTCGCACTTTTATCTCAAAACGCTCAGGTTGGGATTTGCAGCCAACCAATGAGCGCTTTGAAAGGGCGACTGCAAGTGAGGAGCGCATCCAAAGAGTGGCAGCGCATGTTGGGCTTGTATGTCACTTTTTGGGTGATGCAAACATCCTTCAGGCCCACTGTGATAGTAGGGCAACGTTTCAAGATGGCCCTGCGCCCACCACGCCCAAGTCAGGGGGGGATTTGGTCCTGCTCCCCCAGTTCAAATCATTCATTTCGTCTTCCCCGGAATGGAATTACTGGGATCAGGATTCCCCCCTCTGCCACTTCCATGAGGCGGGCGCACCTGCAACTCTTGTCGCCGGCTACGTTTCGCAGCCCACGGTTTAGCGGTCGTAAAGAACCAGGAGCTTTGCAGAATCAACAAGTGCTTAATTACTTCAGTCTGCGAGCACTCCTTGAAGAACAAGGTGGTAAAAGGAGAGAAGTACTGCCCGCTTGCGGTCTCGCTGGGTCAAGTCTTGGCTTCCCGGCATTGCAGTCGCTCTACGGCAAGAGAGGACTCGGCCTGCGAGGAACAAATGCACCCGCCCGGCCCACAATTCATGGAACCACACCGGCGTCTCGCTTCACTTGGCATCCGCGTGCATCTGTGCGTTTTGTCAACCCATATTTCCACTGGTTTGGGGTTGAGTGACATGTGACCACCACAGCCAGCCGCGACTGACAGATGTGACCCAGAGCTGTGACAGAGCTTGTGGCAGACAGCTGTAACAGAGCTTGTGACAGACTGCGGCAGTCCAAAGCCTGAGGCTCCACCAGCAGCCCGGTTTGGACAGTTGTGACAGCCAGTTGCCCCGGCCAAAGCAGCAACAGCGCAGGCTCCCGCGCGTGCCGTGACAGCGCGAATGCTTGACTACTAAGGCGTGTGGGTGACGACAGTTGGCGCAAAAGACAAGCCGAAGACTGTCCACGAAGCACCACAACACTGGCAGCTTCCGTGGGAGTTCCGGGGAAAGCGTGAGGCCACCAGTGGGCTGCGACGGCCGAAGCTTGAGGCTGCCAAGGGCCCGAAGCCTGAGGCTCCCGCCGGGGGTTGGGCCAGGACAGCCGCAGCCGAAAGTTTCAGCCCAGTGGCAAAATTATTGAAGTCAAGCAAGCAGGCAGCTTCAGCGCGGCAAGAAACGTTCGTCTGAGCCCTTGGGCAGGTAAATGTCTAGGTCGGGATTGTTCGATGAAGAGTTTTGGATTGCAACTGGCGACTCCCAACGCGCAAACACCAGCATTCCAAAAGGCTCCACTGACAAGACGGGGTTATGATGCTGGTGCCCTCTGAACAAAAACAGTGATATTCTGCTGCTGTTCAGAACTCAGGCTCAGTCCTCGTGATCCTACAGCGGCCGAACAATACTGCACACGTGAGTTATTGCAATTCAACGGCGGCCGCCGCGCTTCCGCAGAGGCACGCAACCATCGGTGCAGAGAAATTTTGGCCAGCTTCCCCTAGCGCTCCGAGTCCTGAACTGCATGGCCTCTTGTCGGCAACGTTGGGTTTCCCAAGTCTTGCTGCAGAGAGGGAGAGATTATAAATTATACCTAGGAAGCTCTGAAAGAAACGTAGGAGTTGCTTCTGCCGCCCCCCCCCCCCCCCACACATGCTCCGTTCCTTCCCCTCCCTACCAGCCGAAACAAAGTTGCTGTGAGCCGGGTCTTCAGGGCTGGTTCTGACTTTTGCGAAGGCCGCTTCTCGCTAGGCCAGCTGGCCCGGTGAGTGGTACCGCTTTAACAGCATGAGCATCGCAATGTCAGCTGGTCGCATTGACCCTGGCATGTATTGACCACTATAGTACTACCTGTACCTTTGCAGCGCAGCAGTAGCACAAGGCATCGATTGAATTCGGGAAGCCGCATGTGACTCCTACGAAACTTCTCCATCAGTCCGTACCAACATCATTTTCTGGTAGATTGTTCCGTTGGACGTGCTGGCAACGCTTGCCACCGGATTGCTGTCGCTTCATTTCTGCCAGCTTGACAGGGTGTGCAAACGCGAGTTTCCCTTCTAACCACGAAGCAGTGAAGCAAGTTGAGCTGACAATATTGCCACAAATCTAAGGGGCCTACCCAAAACCGATATCCTGGTACTACTCTCCATTTCTAATGTTTGATCATGTCCGGCAGCGCTTCTTCCGCAGGGGTTCATGATTCACAACTTTCTTGCACGCAAACTTTGCAGCTTTTGATGGATTGTGTTTGCGTTTGTTGTCTCCTCGGCAGCCCCTGAACACGAGTCTGAGAAGCTGGTTGCATCACTTCTGTCAAGCACGCGACGCTCGCAACAACACTCGTCTCTGTAGCTCGTCAAGCTCTGAGTTTGAGCATACCCCAGAACCGCACATCCAGCAACCGCACAGCGCCAGTGAATCACGGTCTTCCGGATTCCGAGGCATGCATTAGAGTAGCTGAGCAAGCAGCAACGCCCTTGCGTTGCACTTGTTGGTGAGCGATCGACGCACAACACCGCGCCTTGGATGATCCAGGCTGCGACGCCCGCTGGAGGTGATTGCGAACAATTCACGGATCACATGCGAGTGATGCAAGCGGCATGCCAACTCCCCCATAACTTTCGAGAATGCTGGCTCAGCCACCGGGCCTTTATCCGGGGTCAACTAATGCCTAAGGGAACAATTTGAATCGTGTATAATGGCAGTCAAGTGCAAGCTCAATCAACTGAAACGCCCACTTTTGTCGCCATCGACTTGCATCCGCAGCAATGCATCAACGTGAGAGTCCAGGTCCTGTCAGTAGAAGTCGGAATTAAGGCTTCCACTGGTGAAGTCAAATCCGTGTCAGAAGGACCCCATTGAGGACACGCTCGGCGTCTCCGCGCTCATGTCCGCTACGTACGTCCTGCAATGGCAATCGACAATGCGTCCGGCTCATGTATCAGCCTCCATCGGTTGGATCAGACTTGCAGGTCCTTCACCAACGTGTAAGGTTGGAGCACGTAGTTGCGCACCTGCCAGGAAAACTCCAATGACAAATAACAAACCCACCCAGGCTGCCCCCGTGCCTGCGCGCCCCACCTCAGGGAAACTAAACAAGCAAGCTGTTGGGTCACAGTCTGTGACCCCTCAGGGCAAAGTGTCTGTCAAGCCGCTGGGCTGACACCAGGTCCCCCCGGATGCTCTGCAACTCTTCCACCTTTTGCTGCTCCTGACTTGTGTGTGGGTCAAAAATAGGTACCCAAAATAGAACCCTGGTAGAAGGAACCATGGACTAAACCCTGCGGTCCCCTGGTGGCTTAATTTTGACCCACAGCCACTTTTCAAGCAGCTTGTCAGCAACGTTGCGCCACCCCCCCCAACCTTGCTTGTTCCCTTCATCCACAGCGGGAAAGTGTGTGGGGAAGGTCTTTCTTCCGGTCCGATACGCGGGGCCCCTCCCCTCCCCCCACATAGACAAATGGCTGTTGGTGACACACGGTTGTCAGTGGCCGTCTCTGGTAGGTGTGCCTCAAAACACGGTTCAACCCCCCCCCCCCTGTCCATCGGTGTCCCTTAGATTCTAAGCAAACCCAAAAGAATACCGACAATCCCATGTGGGTGTGTACATCTTAACTAGGGACCCTTTGCTGACTGAGCCTCATTGTGGGGATTCCTGTCCACCAATATGTGATAGTTGTTTCTCTTGGGGGGGAGGGAGTCCGCCCATCCGAATTCATCGCCATGCCGCGCACGAGCACCAGTGGGAATCTCATCTAATTTGCCCAAATGGAGATCAAAGGTCAAAACTTGTGTGACAGTATTGACTCACTTGCCCAAAGGACCTAGAAATACAGGGTTCACCTTTTGGGGCCATGACTAAAAATGGAGGAGTGTAAACCAAAAGCTCAAAGGTCGATTCGTGGGCCAAAACGCCACAGATCGCGTCCTGGATCAGCAGCAATTTCGCCTTAAGCTTGACCAAGGCCTCGCGAGCTGTCGCCACAAAATGGCCGCCCTGTTCAAGGTGCTACATGCTTTTGACCCACTTGCATCTGCATCTACTAGTTGGAACGTACCCTGGCCCCTTTTTAAAGGGGAAGCCATCTAAGTAGTGGAACTGTCGCTCGGCGTAACTTCCCTTTACTTTGATTGACACTTCCAAACTAACTGGCGACTACGGTCCCAACAATTGAATATAGTTTTCCCGAACCCGAAATCCCTCAACACTAAATCAGAAGTGACCCAACGCTAAACCACATCTCTCCCTGTCTCAGTCTCTCTTTCTCTCTCTCTCTCGCTCTCCTCTCACTCACGCACCTTCTGTGCCTGCACGAGTTGTTTGAACACCTCGCTTAAGATTGCATTCTGGAGAGTTGCTATTTCCTTATGGTGGCCCTCTTTGGGTGTCCCTATGGCCCAAAATCTGAAAGGTCCCCATGCTTGAATTGCTTACATCACGTACATATAAAAGCATGGCATGCTGTTTCCGTTTGGGTCGACCTCCCTGCATTTCGAAAGCGACCAGTTCTTCACTACCAAAACCATGGGGCCCCCCAGCAATAAACAAAAGAGGGCAATGGTTTTGAGAAGGGGTGGGGGTGTGGCCCCCGTTTATGATCAGGGGGTTGGGATGAACCACACACCTCCAGCCATGGGCCAAACCGTGCACCCTTCTTTGGTCGAGTGTAAAGGGGGCCCTAATTCAGAAAAATCAAAAGGGCACCACTGGAGATGTACGACTCATGGACCACGCAATCTCCCACATTTCTGGCCTTGCCCTTGTTCAACAGCTGGCTGCGTTCCTCTGTACACTTCATGACAACGCCAGTCCTGAGTCCCAGGACGTGAGACGTGAGCCCATGTCACAAAAATGCTGAATCTTCCATCTTGCCAAACTTAGACCCCCTGCCAACATTGAACTTGCTGCTAGTTGAAAGGAAGATCAGGGAACCCAAAAGCGCACAAGGGACAAAACATGGTCACTTAAGTCTCGCATTGGACTTATCAGCAAAACAAGATGGTAAAAATCCAATGTAAATCGCGAGGATGTATTGACTCATTGACATACCTTATGGCCACGAAGGAAGCCCAGAGAACCGCCAACTGGAGTCCTCCGAAAAAGAAAAAACATGAATAAACAATGACACACGCCCATGACTCATGAGGCATACAAGGTCATCGTGCCATGCTGTTTGTGCACAGGACTGGAGCCGAATTGCAAAGAGCCCAAGCCCTCAATGAAGCCCTGGACTTTAGGGAAACTGCACTGAATCAAACCTGAAGGCTCAAAGATCTGCCCGAAACCATGCAAATCAGGGTTCGTTTGGGGCCACTAAGCTTTGTCTACTCAAGCAGGTTTGGTCGTGGCTCACTTACGCTTGCCTTTCCAAAGCCTGAGCACATGCTGGGGACAGGACGGTGTATGAGTAACTCGGACTCCTCAGTCGAAGGTACACCGCGGACAAGATTCTGAGCCGTTCCCACAACGTTGTAAAGCTCGGTGGCCCCTCGGGTGGGCACCTCCAAGCAAACAAGTCACCTTCCGGAGCTCAGTTTGATTCTACCAACATGGTCTGGTTGAAGGCATGGTTGGCGGACAAATGTCCACCTTGAATCGGAGTTTTTGGCGCAAACAAAAACAGCAAACGCTTCCCAAGAATGGCATATCCCCTTCAACACAACCGTGAACCTGGATTTTCTCCCCACGCTCCCAGGTTCGCTTGGGAAGAAAGGCGCCGTTCGCGCCGTTCAAAAAAGCTGTGCACAACTCCCCCGCCTGTTTCCACCTTGTTCACGTTCTGGCCTCCCTTTCCACCGGACCGGAAGAAGTCCCACCTGCCGTCCACAGCTGCTTAACACCAGTGTGGTCTCCTGCTTTGGAGGATGCCCTGCGGGTCGAACAAAAATCAGAGGCCCACATGCGCTTGCTGGCTTTTGCAAAGTGCCGTCAGGGCAGAGGTGCTGACTTCCCTCGTGCCATGGGACTGCTTTTGAGAGTCACAAGGAATTCAGGGCATGCTTCTGGCTTTCCCGGCCGAACCCTTCAAACGCGCCCAGGTCACTGCAGGTCTTTGGGGTCCAGCTCCAGGGATGTAACGGCGTCGTCGGGCAGCAGTGGCACCACCTGTTTTTGAGCCACTCCCCCAGTTGCGAGTTGCCAAGTGAATATCAAACCTCGGATTGAAAGGAGTGTGCCCAAACGTAAAGAATGAGAAGGGCGCATGAGCTTCATCTACACGAATCGGCTTTGATTCTGGCTTTCTTGTCCTGCAATTTGCCATGGTGATGCGGTTCCTTGACCATTCCCTCTCCTAGCAATGACGTTGGTGTGTCTTTTTGTTTAAGCTTGCCGTGGGTGTTTCAAGCAAAAGTTCAAAGAGACACTACCCCAACCAGCCGGTGCTTCCTCATTTCGGAGACACACCCTGATCAAAGGTCTTTGAAAGGGGACCACTGGCTCGCCTCGACACCTGCAAAGGTCGTTTGCCGCTTGCCGTTCCAGATCCGCACCAACCTTGGCAACGGGGTGATGCCTTTGGCTGCCACCTGCGTCTTCCAAGCCAAGGGACCTGTTCCCACTATCCTGGCCCAGACATCTGTGGAAGGACCGACTGGTCTCCGAGTCAAATTTGGCCAACAGATTCATTCACCTCCGCACGGCTCAGTATTGGGAAGCCCGTCCAGAGTAAGGCCCCCTTTTTGCAGCCCTGTGACACTGTGCGTCGACTGAAGGTTACGAGGGTGGGCCCCGTCTCATTTGCACGCATCCTATGTAAAGGTCTCGAGGCTGGGACCTGTGTGTACCTGTTTCTCGCTGCAGCATGCCGAAGGCATATTCACCTGGCCAAGGACAACCATAGCAGCATGATCGAGAGGATGAAATCGCTTCGCAACAGTCTGTAGTCTCTTTCGTCTTGTCATGCGCTCCCGTTCTCACCAAACCACGCAGGACAAATGGCTTGGTCTCCACATGAGGGGCCCACAACAGTGGGTGGGTCATCTAAGACCATTCAAAACGAGCAACCTCTGAAACACATTGCCAAATGACTCACATGCATCTCCACAAAGCACCATCAGCCTGCCACTTCAAAGTCAACACCTCAGCATAAGGCAAAGCCAACAGCATAGTGGAACTGCTCCCGCCAACTAACAACCGAAGGGCCCCTTTTGAAGGAACATGGTCCTCCAAATCTAATCAGGTGTGGGTAGGACCCAGAAGAAATCGCTGCTGGCTACTGGGCCTTCCCGAAAACCATGTACGCCATGCAAAAGCAAAGCTCGGTTGAGGCCCGCTTCGCTGGGACCGCTGCTCTTTAGCCCCAGCGAGTCGCCTGAGGGAGTGAATCGAGCAAAGCACCACATTGACCCAATGAGGTTGCACTGAGAACTTGCTCAGAGAGACTTGATCAGAGAGACTTGATCAGAGACATGCTCAGAGAACTTGCTCAGCGAAACTTGCTCTGAGAACTCTCCCCAAGAACTTGCTCAGAGAGACTTGCTCAGCAAAACTTGCCCTAAGAACTTGCACTAAGGACTGACTAAGGACTTGCTGAGAGAGTCTTACTCAGAACACTTACTCAGCGAAACTTGCTCAGATAACTTGCTCAAAGAACTTTCTCAGAGGACTTGCTCAGAGAACTTGCTCAGAGAACATGCTCAGAGAAACTTGCTCAGAGACACTTGCTCACAGAGACTTGCTCAGAGAGAATTGCTCAAAGAACTTGCTCAAAGAGAATTGCTCAGAGCACTTGTTCTGCAAAACTTGCTCAGAGAACTTGCTCAGCGAAACTTGCTCAGAGAACTTGCTCCGAGATACTTGCTCAGAGACACTTGCTCACAGAGACTTGCTCAGAGAGAATTGCTCAAAGGACATGCTCAGAGAGAATTGCTCAGAGCACTTGTTCTGCAAC